GGGGTGAGTGTAGACAGAAGTGAGTGTAGACGGGGTGAGTGTAGACAGAAGTGAGTGTAGATGGGGTGAGTGTAGATGGGGGTGAGTGTAGACAGAAGTGAGTGTAGACGGGGTGAGTGTAGACGGGGGTGAGTGTAGACAGAAGTGAGTGTAGACGGGGTGAGTGTAGACAGAAGTGAGTGTAGACGGGGGTGAGTGTAGACGGGGTGAGTGTAGACAGAAGTGAGTGTAGACGGGGATGAGTGTAGACAGAAGTGAGTATAGACAGATTGGATAGAAAGGGAGCAGGGAATATCCCACCCTGGTCCTGTGACAGGCCATTTGGCAGCCCTGTGCACAAGGTCTGCAGGAGCCATGCCAGCAGCTGAGAATGGGCAGACCAGTGGGATGGGGTGAATGACTGGGTGGTCAGTAGGAGGGTGGAAGTCCCTGTCCTTCCCATCAGTGGGCTTAGTGACAGGAGATGATAGATTGCTGCCTGCTACTTACAAACAAGAGCTTTGGAGTGGGCGGTGTTGGGAGGGCCTTCGGGTGTTAGTTTCTGAAGGAAGTAGTGTTGGAGAGGATCCAAGAGAAAGGGAGGCAGACGGCCCTGGGATGTGGTGTCTGGTGGGGGTTGGGAGAAGGCGTGGGTGGAGCCAGGTGGTACAGAGCTCTACCATCCCCAAAGGGCTTGCAGGGGGTCAGGGGGGCTGGGCTGTATGCTGGTCCATGTAAGGACATGGTGGGCCCATGATATAGCTCAGTCAGGGACAAGCTGGCAATGTCGGGTGCAGACAATCCCATTCCCAGGCCTCGGACGCATATAAGACCAGGGTTCTTTTTTTCTGGTAAAAGCAGAGTTACTGAGTAATGTTTTTGTCCAGGCAAGAAAAGAGAAAACCCAACATTCCATACCCTGTACCTTCTTTCCTGTATATAGCCGCCTGTATGAACACATACACCTTCACACAATGCACACATTCATATAACATACACAGACACCTTCACATAATGCGCCTATATTCAAGACACACATGCACATAACTTCACACAACATACACTCATCCCATACACACGCCTTCACTGCACACACATACATACACACAACTATGCACCCATACTCAGACAAACACACATTCACATACATGTGCCCACACATGCACACAACCACACACACTGTATTTGTTATTTCTTTTCCAAAATCCAGACAGAGGCCTGGGTGGCACCTCACGGATGCCGGTGAGGAGGGTTGGCACCCGGGTCACCCAGCATTCCTGTAAGTGAGGTGAGCAGAAGGTGTGCAGTGCCCAGCCCTTCCTGCAGGTGCCCTCAACCACACCCCCACAGCCCGCCCATCTGCCCACACCTCAGGCATATAAAGCAAGCTGAGCTGAGCTTTCTCCTTGCTCCCAACTCTGTCCGAGGCGTGAATTTGTTACAATGCATCTCAACTTCAGGGGTCTGCGGGCCCTGGTGACAGGGGCAGGGAAAGGTAGGTATGAGACCCTACACGGGGCCAGGCAGCAGCAGACCCTGTACCCCACCCATTGGGACAGGACAGTAGCCCATCCCCAGCCATGCAAGACCACTTCAGAGTAGTGAGCTGGCCTAGGTCTTAGGGAGGCTCCAAACCTAGTCTCTGGGTTGGGAGCTCCCTTGGCCTGCACCTGCCCAGGGAAGACCCCGCCCAACCTCCAACTCAGGACCACCATGCTGGTACCCCACCTGCTCCTGGCCCCAGCCCTGACCCATGTAGGGTCCGTGTGCAGGGATCGGCCGGGACACCGTGAAGGCACTGCATGCCTGTGGAGCCAGGGTGGTGGCTGTCACCAGGACCAACTCCGACCTGGTCAGCCTGGCCAAAGAGGTGGGCAACTGCACAGCCGGAGCCATCCCAAGACACCCCCCCGCAAAGCCCCCAGTGCCCACTGGGCCTGCCTGCCCCCTCTACCCTGTCACTGCCCCCCACAGTGCCCCGGCATCGAGCCCATGTGCGTGGACCTGGGCGACTGGGAGGCCACTGAGCGGGCGCTGGGGGACGTGGGCCCCGTGGACTTGCTGGTGAACAACGCCGCTGTGGCTCTGGTACAGCCCTTCCTGGAGATCACCAAGGAGGTCTTCGACAGGTGGGAGGCAGGACAGCAGGCTGACTGGGCAGGGGCTTGGAGGTGGCCTTGGTCCTCTGACGGCTTTTCTGTGCTCCATCCAGATCCTTCAATGTGAACCTGCGTGCTGTCTTGCAGGTGTCCCAGGTGAGCTGGGGCTGGGGCCCAGAGGGGCAGCATGCACCCAGTGGGCTGGCCTGAGTCAGCGGGCACCTTGTCTTCCAGATCGTGGCCCGGGACATGATCAGCCGAGGTGTGCCGGGCTCCATCGTCAATGTCTCCAGTATGGTGGCCCACGTCACCTTCCCCTGTCTGTCTGTCTATAGTAAGTACCTGTGCCCCATGTGTATGGATGCCACCAGGATATAAGTCTGAGCCACCTGCAGGGGGCTGCATGCCCAAGGTGTTCTCAGTACTGCCCACCTCCTACAGGCTCCACCAAGGGCGCCATGACCATGCTGACCAAGACCATGGCCCTGGAGCTTGGACCGCACAAGGTGTGTGTGTGTGTGTGTGTGTGTGTGTGTGTGTGTGTGTGCACGCATGAGGATGAGTAAGGGCATGGGGCCATCTGAGCTGGGAGTTGGGGGGCTGGGGCAGAGAGTGATCATGGGGAAGGAGAACCTTGGGGTCCATGGAAGGTAGGGGAGGCTCCAGGGGTCTGTGCTGATGCTACCGACTGAGACCACACCTCCAATCCCTGGGCCCCACCCAGATCCGGGTGAACTCTGTGAACCCCACAGTGGTGCTGACTGCTATGGGCCAGAAAGTCCTTGAAAACCCCGAGTTTGCCCAGAGTCTGAAGGAACGCCACCCCATGAAGAAATTCGCAGGTCAGGAGCCTGTGAACACCGAGGCAGTGGAGGGGGGTGGGCCAGTGATTTTCCCTGCCCCACTTCCCCCCTCCCCTCCCCTCCTCACCAGGCCCCCTCCCTGCCCCCAACACTGACCTTTGTCCTGCCCCCTCCCTGTCCCCAACACTGACCTTTGTCCTGCCCCTCATCCTGCCCCCAACCCTGTTCTGTCCTGTCCCCAACACTGACCTTTGTCCTACCCCTCATCCTGCCCCCACAACCCTATCTCCCACCTGCCCCCCTCCCTGCTGCCCACCCGATCCTGATCCTGGCCTCCTCCGTCCTGCCCTGACTTGCCCCTCTCTCTGACCCCACCCCCACCCCTCCACAGAGTCGGAGGACGTAGTCAACAGTATCCTTTTCCTGCTCAGTGATTGTAGCGCGTCCACTAGCGGTTCGGGCATCATGGTAGATGCTGGGTACCTGGCCTCTTAGAACACCTACCAGCAGGCCCCAGCTGCCAGCATGCCCTCCATCATCTAACCTGTCCAAGCCTGAACCCTGTCCTGCGCTCAGTCCAGTGGGCAGCTGCCCACAGACTCCACCTCACTGCCCCTGTGTCCTGGCTGAGTGGGGGTCACATTTGTCTAAATAAACAGAGGTCGTTTTCCCAGAACATGCATCTGTCAGTGCCCAGTGTGTGCAGGGATAGCTTGGCGGAGGGGAGAGCAGGGTTGGGGGTTGGTTCATGTCACCTCCCTGAAGCCATTGTGGCCGCGCCTTGTGGCACCCTGCCTCCAGCCCCTCATCCTGACTCTGAGGTTCCTTGCTGGCGAGTGTGGGTCCTAAGGTTTCAACTGTACCTCCTGGACCAGACCTGGAAGGCTAGAGTGTGGACTGAGGGGACAAAAGGGGGTCTGGGGGCTCTGCAGGCAATGGTGCCTCAGGTGAAGGAGATGGGATACTGAAGAAGGGGGCAGGGTCTCTCAGGATCACAGCTTGATGGAGCTGGCTTGGGCTGGTCTGTGAGGGTCTCAACCAATGCAGAGGCTTAGGGCCCTGACCTGAGGGCAAGACAAAGGGATTTCAACAAGTGCTCAGGTGTCCCTTCCTGAAGGGCAGGCTAGGACTGGTCCTCCCTTGGTGTCTGAAGACAAAGTGCAGGGTCCTAGGTTAGGAGCAGAGGGCAGAGCCATAGGGGAGCCTCAGTACAGCATCCTCATCTCCTGCCTGGCCTCCTCTTGGGTCCAGCCCTCCAGTAGAGCCCAGGTCCTGCACCAATCTGCTGTCT